GCCTGGGAACTTGCCCTGTGGGGGTGGGCTTAAAAGAAGCCTTGACTGACTTTGGGAGGAACACAGAACAGTTGCTGAGGGTACACTGGAGACTGGTGACTGAGATTTCCTTTATGGCAAGGTCCTTTATATTTTGATTAACAAAATGTTTGTTCAATTCTTATTTATGAGTGGAGCTTTGTGGTGTAAACCATAATACTAATGATAACTGCTCACATGTATTGAGCATTTAATGTGCCAAGCAGAGTTTACCTTTTCATGTGTAGTATTTCCCATAATCCTTACCAGCACCCTAAGAAAATGCACCCTAAGGAAATGACACCACTGTCCTTGTTTTAGAGATGAGGTGCCTGAAGCCCAGAGAAATAAAGTCACTTTTCCAAATCCAAGTAGTGCTGTCTCTCCCAAAGATCTGTATTCACTTACAGCCAGTCTGAGAACCCTGGGCTGCTTAGGGCCTCCCTGGTACCTTTTCCTGAATGCCACAGAGTCAGCTGCACTGTCTTAGAAAGCCTGGGTTTCTTTCTTTTCTTTGAATGATGCTGCTTGGGTAAGAATTTCATCAAGATTGCATTGACATATTCTACTCATCCTGATATAATCTTAAAAGTAGAGTGTTTTTAGGAAGTCAGATCTAATTGCCCAAATGAGAATTTATTTAAAATAACCACCTGCTACTTCATCTGTGTTGTAAAAGTATCTTGAATCTCCACCAAGGATCAGAGACTGTGGTTTGAGTCCAGGTAACAAAATATCTGATTTTGGAAACTCATAGTCCTTCTGCCTTCCTTTTCTCTTCATAAGATTATAGCTTTATTCTGAGCTGCTGGAATAGTTGCACGTATAGAACACATGTGTCTTAAGTATTCAGGATGACCTAATGCCTGGGATGGAGTCTGTGGAGGGCTCCAGTTTCCCCCAGATGTGTGTTTTCATTGCCTCGGGCACAGGTGACAACTGAAGTTCTTTATATGAAAGACTAGACTGCCAATCAACATATCCATTCAGCTTGAGTTCCAGGCTGCCATTTCTTTCTCTGTTCCAGTTTAATCTAGGCATTGGTCAATTAGTTCTTGTTGTTCTTAGCATCTTTAAAGGTTTTATTTTCTACTAGCTTTGTCTTTTCCCTTCCTTGTCCTTTCCTCCCCTTTTCTGTCTTCATTCTCTATTTCTTTCACAAACTTACAATTTTCAGTTTTTCTAATCTTTGTTATTCCCTAGTGAAGGCAAAAGGTTAGACTTTACCACATTGTAAAAGCCCTTGCTACTCTGGATCATAAATCAGTTCCCTTTATAAACTGCATTAACACATTTGGGCCATAAGGGGCAGGTTTAATGCACTGATTTATAAGCAGAGGCTAAAAGTTAATGGATTCCTAAAGTTACCTACCGCAGAGGACTGCTAAGCACTTTAAACAGTGCAACAGCTAGATTCAGTATCAGAGAAGAGGGTCCCGTCACAAGGTGGTCATCAGATAGGAAGACTTTGGGCACAGTGGTCTGTGGGAATCAGTGTGGTGCCAAGAGGGGAGCCCTGGATTCGATGGCACCCATAACTGGTTCACTCTATCACTTGGACTAAATCACCTCTCTGTGGCTCCCTATTTAGAAAATCGGTGCTAGATTCTGTCTCTAACATGCTGTATTTCTTAAGACTTTTAAGATAATGCTTAATCACAGATGTTGGATTTGTTCATCCTGTTGAGTTTTGATCCTGTCTCGCGTACATCTGTGAGGCTGGCCCCTGAGTTCATAGACAAGCATTTCTTTTCCTGTGCCCATTGATGTGTAGTGTTATCTGGTTTGGGTGATCAGTTGTTCCGTCATTTACAGCCCTCACATCCTCAGTATCAAGCTAAGATTTACCTTTCAAATTCTTCAGTGTCTGATGGTCAGTTTGCCTAGGCAGTCCTTTATGATGGTGCCCTAGGGTGTGGGAAGAGTTCAAGTGGGTTATTTCACGGGGAAGAAGTGAAGACCAAGCAGAAGAGCCCCAGGTAAGTATGCATTTGAGATCTGTGAGTTCAAGTTTTTGTATTTTTGCTCTGCATAATGAAAACAATAGCTATAGTACTTACACCCCATGGATCAGGGCCCTGTTTCTCCCTACTCTGAAAACTACACCATGCCTATCATTTATGTTTGGACTCTGTTTAGCTTCCTCATCATTAAGCCAGAAAGGGTTTATTTAATTGCCATTTGAATATTATCCAATGATGTTCTCTCAGTGGTGCTAATTCCACTTGTATCAGCTTCTGCTGTCCCTGTGAGGCACATTGAGTCCTAGAAGGCATTTGCTCCTTTGCTGGTATTTGATGCTGTTGAGGCAAAGGCTGATCACATCAGTGCTTCAGGGCTGAGGGTCTTTAGGCTATTCTTGTTTCATAACTGGTCTTAGTTCAGATGGAAGCTGGCCCTTTACCAAAGAGCAGTTCAGTTCAGGTCTTTGTTGGAAACATAAAGAAAAGCATTGAGCAACAAGAGGGAACTCTTAGAGTTGCCAAGATCATTTCATTAGGCAGCGCCTATTGGAAATGTTGCCTTCACAAACACACAAAACTGCATTTGAGACATTTGTGTGTGGAACTGGCCTGTGACTTGGTGGTGAGCTGCATTAGAACCATGGATAGAGCTCATAATATGCTAATTTTGTGGACAAGTGTAGGGTCAGGGAATAGTTTGTTGTTGTTGTTGTTGTTTTGTTTTGTTTTTTTCTGTATATACTAGTTTAGAAGCACAGACCTAGGCATTCTCATAATTTTATGGTACAGTTAAAACAGTAAATGACAATAGTTTTCCATTTTTCTTTCTTAAAAGTAAAATTGTAGCCGGGCGTGGTGGCACACGCCTTTAATCCCAGCACTGAGGGGGCAGAGGAAGGTGGATCTCTGTGAGTTCAAGACCAGCCATTCCTTTGATACTGATTCCCTGACCCCTGTTTGAGAATATTGCTTTCAAAGGAGAGAAAGGGTTAGAGAAGCCCCACTGACAGATCATTTTTGAATAGAAAATGAGAGGTAGCATTAGAGCCCCATGTGTGGTATAGAAAATCACCGCTTAACTTCTGCTTTCAAGATATTGCATGAGTATAAGAAATTTCATCGTGTCATAGTGCCAAGGGTGAAGATTTTTAAGATCTAGATTAATGAAGTATTAAGAAAAACTCAACAAATGCAAGATGGACCATCAAAGTCAAATACAAAGCCCCATCACACATGGTCTATAAGCCCCACATGTTTTGAACTCCTCAATATGTCCACCCTATTCCTGTCACATATTGAAAATTTCTGTCTCCTTAAAAGACCTTTTATATTTCTGCTTAAACTAGCCACATTTCCCTGTATCCTATGGCAATACAATGTCATATTTTCTTATTTTTGTTTTTCATTATTTCTGGATTGTTAGGCTTCTTCTTCATGAAGGTAATGACCTCATATGTCTTTTATACAGCTTTCCCAATTATTTAATAATAAATAGTTATTTGCTGAATCAGTGGACGGATAATAGATGTATGCATAAGTGGATGGATGGATGGATTGGATAGATGGATGGATGGATGGATGGATGGATGGATGGATGGGTGGATGGGTGGGTGGGTGGAGTTGAAGTCTCTAAGTTGAATTCTTAGAATTCTAATCTAGCCAAATGGTATTCTTTATCCATACTGTAGCTCTACTCTCCTATACCCCTGGAAATACTTTTCTCCTCCTTGGCCACCAAAAGCTACAATCCATCAGTTTCTACTGCAGTTCAAGTTCCATTTTCATTCATTCAATGAGACCTATCATTTGTAGAGCTGACACTGATTTGTCCCTCCTCTGACATATAATATGTGTGTGTGCATGTGTGTGCATGTTCATGTGTGTGTGTGCATGTGTGTGTGCGTGTGCATGTGTGTGTGTGTGTAGAAAATGACCATAGACCATATTTTCATTGTTTTAAGTTGGATCACATCTAAATTTCATGTTTCAATTTTATTTTTTAACAAATTTATTTATTTACTTATTTTACATGTGTTTTGCCTGCATGTGTGTAAGTGCTCCATGTATGTGCAGTACCTGTGGAGGCCAGGAGAAAGCATTGGATTCCCTGAAACTGGAGTTACAGACAGCTGTTAGCCACCATGTGGGTGATGAACACTGAACTAGGGTCCTGTGCAAGAGCAGTCAGTGCTCTTAACCACTGAGCCATCTCTCCAGCCCTAAGTTACCATTTTTAAAAAAGACTTAATTTTTCTCATGATTAAAGCAACAAAGATATACACTCACTGGGCATGGTGGTACACCCCAACAAGTCTTTGATCCCAGTAGTCCAGACATAGACCCAGGCAGAGCTCTAGTCAGTTTGGTCTACATAAGGAGTTCCAGGACAGCCAGGCTACATAGTGAGACCCTGTCTCAAAAAACAAAAAAAAAGAGAGAATCATTAATTCATGGTCAAAGGACATTATAAACTTATATGAAAATGTCCTTATTCAACTCAACTCAGTACTATGTACAATGATGATTTAAAAGAAAATGTGCATTCATAAAAATGTGAGAAATACTGATATAATGAAACAAATATAAATTCTGCACAATTGTTTCACTCTGACTTAAATACTAGATACACCTTGTCTTTTTTTCCAATAATAGTTTTCTTATACACTTCACCAATTTGTGTGTGTGTGCATATGTGTGTATGTATGCATCACAAAATTACAGCATGACATGTGCTGAGTGTATCCTTGTGGCACTGTAAGTACTTTAAAGGAAGATGACTGAGATAGGTTGCTTAATCAAAAGGTGAAACAGTGGAATGATCTCAATTAGGGACAAGCATGAGAACTGGATCCCCAACAAGTACCCCACATTCAAATGTGTGACCAATGAGCACATAGACCCTGCTATTAAAAAGTGTTCTTCTAGACATCTAGAACAATGAGTTGTGAACACCGTGGTAAAGCACTGGTCTCTGAGGTGCCACCTGTGACAATGACTCGTGTTTTCTTTCTTTTCTAGAGTGACCGTCTTCTAATCAAGGGAGGCAGAATTGTTAATGATGATCAGTCCTTTTATGCTGATATTTACATGGAGGATGGCTTAATAAAGTACGTATGGAACGCTTTTACTTCTTTTCTACTTCCTGTCTTCATTGGAGGACTTAGAAAGAAGCTTGAATTTCAAGTGAAATGAGAACTCCTGAATTGTTCATCAGAAAAATTTTTGAGAACCCATTTGCACAAGGCGTATTAATGGGCATGCTATGGGTCATGGAAAATTGGATGATGTGGCCCCTGTCCTTTAGGATATTGAGAAATGTGTATGAGTAAAATCACCCTAAAAATATCAAACTATATGTAACAGGTGTCCAGATGAAATCAGGATGTGTGATTTAGAAGTAAACAGGAAGAAATTTAATTACAGGTCAGCTTTAGGGTAGAGAGAGTATTTAAAAATGAACTTGACAAAATGGTAGGACTTAACAAGGTAGAATACAGACAGGGCATACACTTCAGAATGATTTCCAAATGTATTCATCAGGAATATATAATTTCTTTAGGGAACAACTTGCTATTGAAATATAGTGAGTTAATTTCTATTCATCACTTTTTGTATAGTGAGTTTCAGACAGGATTTGATTGACAGATATTTTGTCATACCACTATATCAGTTAGGTAACTTTGTCGTAACCATAATGCTATAACTGGCAGACCCAAGACTGTGGATTCAGGTAGCCTGTATTCAGAGCACATCTATACATACTATATTTGGCTGTCAGCAGAAAACATGATTAAATAAGGAGATAGAAGATGAACTTTCAGAGATTAAAGTGGTCCTGATTAGTGTGATGGACAAAAGTGGTTAAGTCATTTCTGTTTCAGACATGGTATTATTGCTAATTGTCAAAATGGGTGAAAACATACACACATAAAAACGTGATTCTTCATTCTTTTGATTCTCGGTTTCTCTGGGAGGGAACACAGTGAGTAAGAAAACCGGGAACAGGAAACAGGACTGGCCAGGGTCTGGACTAGAGTAGAGTTTCGATCAGTGGCTGCATTTCTCACAGTATGTTTCGGATTGTGGTGGCCCTGGAATGGCCCCATGGAGATGTGGTAAAGTTGAACTTGTAGACATGTGGATACTTTAGTTGCAGAACATAGAGTTCTCAGGCCAGTCATGAACTTCTTACCACCCCAAGAGAATCTTTCTGGCTGGCTATGCGTGGAAAGGAAAATATTGCATGCCACAAGCAGTGAGGTACACATATGCTCAAGGTAGGAGATATTTAGTGACAATGTAGTCTATGAATCCTAGGTGTACCATGAGGGCAGCTTTGAGCAGCTGTTGAAATTGAAGCTTTGAAATAACAGACAATCAAGCAACACTGCAAGCAATAATCATGCAAGCAGCATAGTGCAGGGGGAAGCCATGCATGTCACTTCCTTGTGAGGTGTCCTTTGAGACACTCCCTTGTTCTCCCTGATTCTTCCCTCACTCCTCCCTGGGATGCTCGGAGGCTTCCTGGGTCACACTGTATCTCGGAAAGTTGTCATCATCAGCTTCCTTGACTGAATCCTCTACTGGGATGCAGGGCACAAAAGCTGTCGGTGCCACAGGACTGGCATATTGACTCTTTCCTTTTGGATCTGCAGTGAAGCACCGTTGACTGATCAGGGATGTGTAGAAAACGGGAAGGAAGCCTGAGGTGGGACGTTAGGGCACAGAAGGCCAGCCTAACGGTAGCTGAGTGTCTGTACCTGCTGCTGCACTGATTCATTATCTTTTTCTGTTTCTTCTAATAGTCAGTTCACACTCTTCATAGCTTTTCCCAGTGTTATTTCTCAACCTTAAAGAAAGAGCAAAATGAAAGGGATAATAAATATGCTTATTAAAAAATATTAACCACATGATATACTTTAGACTCTGTCAATCTATAGGTCACACGACAAAACTCACAACATATAATCCCTTATGGATCATTTTGTGTCAATAAAAACATATAGCTTCTGGGCTGGAGAGATGGCTCGGCGGTTAAGAACAGTAGTTGTTCTTGCAGAAGACCCAGGTTTGAATCCCAGCACCCACATGACAGCTAATAACTGTCCATAACTCCAGGTCCAGGGGATCCGATGGCCTCTTCTGACCTCCGTGGGCATTGCACAACACGGGTGCACTTACCAGAAAATAAAATAATAAATAAAATATTTTAATAAAAATATAGCTTCTAAATATATGTATACATGTATATATTTAGAATCTATATTTTATATATGTGTATATATATATATATGTCCTTGTTTAAAGATTCCAACTTGTGAGTGACTTTTGAAGACTATATTGACAAATACAATGCAATGTCCAAAATCCTTATAGTACTGTTTGTCTTGAGAGTTGCTCTTTTAAAT